AAAAACAATTTTTTTTTAGTCAGCTTCTCAGTTCAAAAGCTTCCATTTTATGTCAAACGAATACCTTTAAATTTTTATCAAAAAATATTAAGACTTAGAAGTCGCCAGTGAATGATTTTCAAAGTTTCGATTTTCCTCAATATACAATATTTATTATGATTTGATGCAAAAATAGCTTAATCCAAACTTTAAATGTACTGTATGTTTTTTTGGTCGCTGAACACAATGCAATATTTATTTAGTTCTACGATATACTACCTTGATCAAAAAGTTCCCGGAAATCATTCATTTCATCAAAATTCAAAATACAAGTTTTATTCATCAAAAGTGATATTGTCCCCTTCAAAGTCTACTCCCCATCGACTGCAACGCACTTATGCCAGTGCTTGATCCAGCTCTCGAAACATTTCTGGAACTCTATTGTGTTATAGCCATCAGAGCCGTCTTCGATTTTTCCATTACTTCCTTTTGGCTGTTAAAACGCGTTCCCCGTAATAGTTTTTTCATGCCACTCATAAACGGCTGTTTTCTTTAGAGTATCACTGCCGAAACAGTTTCCCAACATTTCTAAAGTTTTCACACCATTGAATCCATTTTTAACACAAAATTTAATACAATTACAAACTCGTTGTTGCAAATTCAACTCCATTTTTAAAACTGTAAAAAATCGAAAATACGTGCAGAGGTAGATGTACTCAAGACGGCGTAACTTAGAAATGTCAAGTTATGGTGATAAAATTTGGTGGGAATGTCAATGATAGGATGTGGCAATCTAACCAACAAAACAGAATTCAAATCAGCTGATTTAGAGCATCACCTGGTAATTCCGGGAACTTTTTGATCAAGATGGTATATCTTAAGAATTACAGTTCAATTAATTTGAAAAAATAACCAAATTTCGAGTTTAAGATCGATTTTGTCAAATTTTCAAACGTTCAAATGAATAGTTTCTTACTTTAAATTGTAGGTTTGTTTATCCAGAACAAGATCCAGTTGGAATTTTCCTGGGACCTCCTGCAGGGTTTCTGAAAATTGCATTTAACTGGATTATAAAACGTTTTTAAGGATAAAAAAAATTTGTTATGAGTTCTAAAGTATATCGCTTTTATGATTTTGACATCTTCAAATCAAATATTATACCTGAATTTGACGATAAAAACTCTTTATTAAAAAATGAAATAAGTACATAATACAAAAAAAAGTGAAAAAGATTTAATTAATTAAAATAAACTATATGTTATGTAGTATATAAAAAAATTTTTCTATCCTTCAAAACGTTTTACAATCCAGTTAAATGCAACTTTTAAAGGCTCTGTAGGAAAATTCCAACTGAATCTTGTTCTGAATAAACAGGTCTATAATTTGAGGGGAGTTTATGACATTTGAATGATTGAAACCTTGCGAAAATCAACTTTGAACTTTGAAATTTGGTTATTTTTTCATATTAATCAGTATTTCTTAAGGCATATATCGTAAAATTAAATGAGTTATTGCATATTCAGCGATCAAAAAAATATACAGTACTACATTTAAAATCCAAATTAAGCCATTTTTGCATATCAAACATGTATTAAAGAAAATCGAAACTTTGATTTAAAAATCGTTTACTAGCGAATCTTAATATTTTAAAATAAAAGTTTAGGAGTGTTCTTTTGGCCTGAAATGGAAGTTTTTGTGTTGAGATGCCGATCAAAAAAAAATTTTTTTTTCCTTGTTAGTCTAATATATATAGGGTGGTTCACTTAAATCGACCATTTGAAATATCTCGCTTATTTTTGATATAAAAAAATGTTTCAAATGAAAGTGAAAGGATTTCGAGGGAGATTTTGGTCATATTGGTTTTTTTTAGGTGGAGATATCAAAAAGATATGAAGATTAACTCATTCACTTTCACTTTTTAAAATGGAATTGTATGATTTTTTTTACATAATATGATTCCTCTAATTATTCTGCATATGAAAGTATTAAGATGATATCAAAAAACCAATAGTTGATGAGATATTTTACATTTTATTCTGGCACATATTGACATTAAATAACTCGTAAACTATTAACTTTTTGATAATTGTACCTTATATGTGCCAAAATAAAATATAAAATATCTCGTAAACTATTGATTTTTTTATATTACTAGCTTAATACTTTTATATGTATAATAATGGGAGGAATCATATTGTGTAAAAAAAATAATTTCATATAATTTCATTTAAAAAAGTGGAGATGATCTTCATATCTTTTTGATGCTTCCACCTAGAAAAAACAACATGAAAAAATACATCCTCTTCGAAACTATTTCATTTTCATTTGAAACATTTTTTTGTATTATCAAAAATAAGCAAAATATTCAAGATATTCGATTTAAGTAGACTACATTGTATATGCGGAGTGTATTTAAATATTTAAAAAATTTCTCATTCTATAATTTCCAAAGGAAACTTATAAAATCTAATAAATTTAAGATATGTTTACACAAATCTTCTATTAATTTCAAATATGAAAAATTCTTAAAAATGTTATAAGATATCATCTAAATCTTTTTTTCGCCAGGGAAAAGCTGGTTATTATAAGATACAAGGCTAATCGACGACATGATAAGCGCAGGCAAATGTCTAAACACTATTATATAAATCAGGGATGGCCAACAGACGCGAGCGCGCATTGGTGAAAATAAAAATTGGAGCATACATAGTCGAATATAAAGAAAGGATGAAATAGATGCATGAATGAAATTTTTAGGAGTCAAAAATTGGAATAATGAAATGTAAAAAATATTTACGCTTATAATTCTTTTATTTTTCTTTGTTTCAATTTTTACTTCTTAGAAACTTTAGTTATGCTTCTGTTTCTCTCCGTTTACTTACGCTTTGATTTTTATTTTCATTCGGGGCGCACAGGTTGCAGGCAATGTTTTGTGCGACTACAAAACATTTACGCGTGGCATGCGAAAATGTTTTGTAGTAGCACAAAAAAATTAAGCAGTAAATAAATCGACCAATCATCAGTAGTAGTGAACGTAAAGTCATTGCTTTAAGCATCTACAACGAGCTTTTGATGTAAAATTAAATTTTTAGTCTTAAGCCATAAGAAATGGAACAATCAATTACAGTCAATTAGTTTCTTCACTATGGATTGGTCAAGTTCTTATAGTTTAAGTTTTAAAGCTTAAGTTTTATACTTTAAACTCTCATTGTAAACGCCGCTTTATGTTTTATGTACCATAATCTTAAAGAAGAGTGCAGTCAAATATTAAAAATTTTGTACTAAATTATTTACTTTTAAAACAAATGTAAAACAGAACAAATGTAAATGAAATAAACTTTATTAAATAGAAAAAAAAATTTTTAATGCAAAAAAAGAAAGTAAATTAAAATTATAAATTTTTTTTTTGTTCTTAATTCTGTAACGTAGACTGTGTTCAGTAGAACACAATTTCATAATTATTTTATGACTGTTTGTAGAGATAAAATTATTCTTCTAAATCTAAAAATATAATTCAATCAGCGCGAAACAAATTTCCAAAATAGTTGCAAAATAAATGTTCTGCTGAATTCAGCTTATGTTATAAAATTAGCAAAAAGGAGTTCGTAATTTTAATTTACTACTATATCTTCTTCTTTTGCATTAAAAGTAAAAAAATTTTTTCTGTTTAATAAAGTTTATTTCATTTAATGTGTTCTGTCTTACATTCATTTAAAAAATTAATAATGTAGCACAAAACGAGCAAAATAAATGCAACTAAAGAGTGCAAGTATAAAAAATAAATTTTAAGTGAGTAGAGTTGTTATTTTATTGTATTATTTTTGCTGTTTAAAATTTTTGACAACACTCTTGCTTCTTTAAGACTATGACACACATAAAAACAGCATCTAATGAGATTCTAGTACCACACTAAATTAATCTCCATAATAGCACGTCAGATAAATACCACTTCTGATTTGGATACTTTAGTGTTTCCAGATATCTTTTCTACTTGTTGCAATACAAGATTATCTGAGAGTGTTGACATAGTACTACGTCATAAAGTGAGTCACTAAAGCATCCAAGCTTAGTACAGGCACAAATGTCGAAGTGAATCGTAGTTTTCGAGATTCCGTTATCTCTCCGTTCTCCGATAAACTCGAAGTGGGTTGCTTTAATCACTTCACAATCTACTCTCGCAATTCAACTCATTACACCAGTTTCTCGGTCAATTCAGTGCATAAATCTGTTACATTAAGTCACGTTACTTTGTTTCAAAAAAATGGCATCGTTGAAACCGATGTTAAGCAAGGATGTGCCTGATATCGAAGTAAGTGAAAATTTTTTGCCGTGATGTTAGGAAATGATTTCTAATTTAATAATCTCCTTAAGATGTTGGACAGACATGTTTGTAAATGTGAATATTCTGAATTATTTTTCACCTTGATAAAAAATCGACAGTTTTTTGAATATTAAAGAAGTGTAAATAAAGAAATTTAATGTTTGCTGGACTGAATGGTTTGAATTTTATTTTTATTGCTCTCAGAATATCATTAAAATATCATCCATGATATTCTGAAAATATATTTCGAATATTGTAATTAATATATTTTATAATATATTCTAACAATATTTCATATACATTTTTAAAATACAGAAAATATTTTAATTTATCTGAATTTATACTGAATATATGTTATTTTCAGCATATTCAATGAGATAATGGGAACTTATATGAGATTATTCAGATAACAAAATGTTCCTTGGCATAAGAAAAGAAATAAGTGCTTAGCACAAATTCCTTTTGCCATCATGTTACTGATGCCGGTTATTAAAAACGAGAATTAATGAATATAAAAATATATTAACAGAAAAACTTCCTGCCAATCAGTTATTACTCAGCATAGATTTGAGCACAGTCAATGAATTTGAATGGGAAATTATAAAATTTTAGATATAGAAAGACATTTGAATAAAAGGCTCATCTCTGAAAATATTCATTACAAATTAGTATAGTTTGAATCTATAATCAAACACAGAATTTTTACACCATTCATATATAAGCATTTTAAAGAAATTAAATAGTGACATATGTACTCGCCTTTAACTTTTGATGGTTTGTCTTTTTAAAGATTGACATTATAATAGTTGACTTATAAATTGTTTATATTCTATTTTAACGGCTCTTAAAATAAATTTGATGGTCAATATTTGACTTCCATGAATAGTATTTTTAGTAATATGTTTATAATTTATTTTCTATATTATTTTTATTTTTTATTATAATATAATGTGTTGCGCTTCGAACTGTGATCTGCAAAGGCGTGAGTAGTAAAAGTAATAAAAGTGAGAAACTATGTAAAATCAATACAATTGATTGTTGTTTTCATTATTGTATCAGTTACTTGATTAAATAACGAAGAGAAAACGACATTTTTCAATTAGAAATATGCTCATCCTCTGTCGAAGATGTAGAGACCATCTCCAACATGTGCAGATTATATTGTTAATGAAAATTACATGGTATTGCAGATGATGGTAAAGTAAACCGAAACATCCAAGAATATTATATCAACAAATAATGTAAAAATATTGTGAATATATTTTATGTATTGCGTTCTAAATACCGCGCTGTAAATGAAAACGCGCCACGCTCGTGCTCATATTTTTAGAGATATGAAATAATTGAATATTTGTTGAAGTTATGTAGCATCAAGAGGAATACAACATACTATTAATAGTTTTTCTATGAATAGAAGCGCTTTGGAAATTTCAAGTCTATCTCCTCTTTTTTAAATGAAATTTTATACAGATTTTTTTATACAGTATGATTTCTTTAATTATTCTGCATATAAAAATATTGAGATAGTAATGTAAAAAAAACCGATAGATCAGAAGATTTTATACTTTATTCTTTATCGTAGAATGATTCAGAACAATCCAAGTGTTTCTTAAGAAACGTATTTCTGATTGAATTTTAAGACGATTTTTCCTTTACAAAAATTTTATTCAAAGCTTAATTTTCAAATTACAAGAAGAAATAGCGTATCACGGGTCGCATATAGGAAACGGGCAGGAGTGGCACTCACGATTAGACGCAGGCTCTTTACGCACGAGGCGCACATTGACCGGACACATTCATACGTTTATAAAAATACATTCCAACATATCTACAGATCTTACTGTCATGATAGACTTTGACGGCAGATTGATAGCAAAATCCTAATAGGAATAGCAAGATCTGTGCAATCTAATGGTAATTGATAGCAATGACGATAGAAATCGAGCAGATTCTGTTTTGTTAATGGCATAATATAATACAAACTAATATGTTGTATATGTATTTATTTGTATATTTAAGCTTTAATAAGTAAAATATGCAGAAAAAACTTTTTCATGATGCATGAATATAAATATATATAAATCCTTACGGAAAAGAATCACTAGTTGGATATTGTAATCCATAATTACCATATAATCCCGCGCGAAATTATTACACGGATCACATACGTGTAGTTACTGCAATCTGTGCACTACTATTCCTGTAATCTATGTACTATCTTTTCTGTAATCCGCCGATTTTACAGTGCGAAAATATCACATAGATGTAATATTAGGTGATTACTGTAATATTTTTGTCGTCGCTATATATAACCACACGGATACAATAGCTAGCCAGTGATTCTTTTCCGAAAGGAAACATACATAAATACATATATAAACATATTCATGTTATATAATATAATTATATATGAAATATGTCTGTACATGTCCAGCTTTCTTTTTTTTGTAAAATTACTTTCTATGCAACAATTCAACAACGCATGGACATCCAAACAATGTATCGTGTTTACATGGATGTACTAAGTACGTATATCCCAAAGATATTCAATAGTTTTTCATACGTACACTGTATCGCATAAAGATGATGAATCTGATAAATGAAGTTAGTACATCCAGTCTCCAATGGCACAGACAATTAATTCTAAAAATATTTTTCTTATATATAAATTTTCGAAAAAAAAAGGACACCAAATATCAAGTCAACAATATTCAAAAACTATCAGAAAAACTTTATTAATTTTCGTCTTGGAGCCCAATTATAGAAATTCCTTTCAAGGCATCATTTTATCATCATTTTATAAAAAAAAAAAAAGCGGATAAAAATTTTCTGAGAAATCTCATTATACTGCGCTTCTATTCGATTGATATCAGGAGACACGGATATTCCAAAATTGACTGCCTGTATTGAAAATCTATTGCAGCCTATTATTTTGCGTGATGATTCTATCTTTTTATTTTCTGACTTTTTTATCTCGTATAAAGAATGAAGATCTTTCATGAGTTTTTACAAGTTTTTGAATAAATATTGAACTAATATTGAAGGTTTTATAAATATTATAGGCATTTTTTAGATTATATTAGATATTTTAAAGGTATTCTTATCTTATATTCTAAGATAAGAATACCTTTAAGACGTCTTTTGTTTATCTTTTAATTTTTTTCAAACTCTTATCTTATATTGACAAAAACTACCGATATCACTTCTCTGATTGTGAAATAATAATGAATTATATATTTCAGAATATACTGAACATCAATCCGAAGTCCAAAACTTATACAAATTTCATGCCATCAGCGAGCACCAAACAGAACAAACAGCATTGGAAAAGGAATATCCTTGAGAAATGTGATGTAAGTCGTTTTAAATTTCGTAACTGTTTAAATGTAATAAATTGGATTATTCATTGTAAGAGTTTAAAGTCAAATTGATGGAAATTATTTTTGAAAATTTGCTTCAAATAAAACAATTATATACATCAAGAGTATATATATAAGAGTAAATCCACATATAAATATGTGATGTATATATATAATGATATATACACGTAAATGTATGATATAAATATTCATTACATATACATATATATAATAAATATACTTACAAATTAAATTTTAAAAATATAAATAAAAAGTTAGGGATTTTTGTATAATATGTAGATACACATGTAAATATAATAAATTTATCATTTTATTAATAGTTATTAATAAGTCAAATTGCTTATTCATATTAATAATAATAAACGATTTTATTAAGACCGTAATATAATAAATACTAATTGTAAGTAAGAATATTCAAGTCTATAATGGTCGAAGCTAGATCTTTAATGCTTTAAATAATTTAATGTAAATTATATACAGGATCCATCAAAAGTCCCGAACCACTTGAATAATTTCTGAATGATTCGAGATATAGGATTAAAATTTACAGGAATATAATGGGATCATAAAATTTGAATCTCAAAAACACCCACCTTAACATTCCTGGGAGAGGGGGGAGAAAGGGGCCTGAAAATCTTACATGGCATGTAGGTCGAGTGAGGACTCGTTTGAAAGAGCTTTCGAGACGAAAACAACATAAATTGACCAAGATTTCTATGATTTTTTTTTCGCAGAGTTATGAACATTGTTATTCAGAAGAAAAAATTTATTGTGTCATCATATCCAAATTCACAAGCGATTACATACATACAATGTGTATATATGTATACACATGAAATTCCACGTTTCATGTGCGTCTCGACTCGGTATCACGTAAACAATTTTTTCATATCGTATACCGACCACGTATGAAACAATAATGTTTTCTCAGAGTTAGTGTTCTCTCAGAGAGCGATATATTACCTTATCTACTTATCTCTTTTGTTTGCTTAGTTTTCATTCTAGTACATTTCTATTGTCAGAAGATGCTTTTGACTGAGACGAAAAGAATGATTGTATTGATGATGAGAGGATATGGTAACAGAATAAGATCCTATCGAGAAGTAGTCGAATTATTCAATGCCAGTTATCCTGACCAATGTGATCCAATTTCAAAATCAACTGTTGAAAGAACTATTGCTCGTTTCCAAAGAACTTTAATTAAAGATGAGCCAAGATCTGGAAGACCCAAAAGCACTACTAATGATGATAAAGTTGCAGATGTTCTAAACGATAATTCTTTTATATCGGTCTCGAGAGTAGTCAAGAAAAGAAGAATGATATTAGCGCATCAGTCCGTCGATTTTGAGGAAGCATCATTATCATCCTTAATCCAAAATGCATCTCCAGCAGCTATCCGAAGACGACTATGACAGAAGAGTGGAATTTTGCGACACAATGATGACAAATTTGATGACAATAATCAATTTTTCAACTGGATCTGTTTCTCTGATGAAGCAACATTTGAATTAAACGGTTCTATAAATTGACAGGATATGAGGTACTGGGCAGATGAAAATTTGAATGAGAGAAAATTACACGCAGAAAATTAACGCTTGAACCAGAATAATGCTTATAATCGTATTATAGGACTATTTTTCATTGAAGATAACATATTTTTCATTGAAGATAATTTCAGATAATTACTTGAATTTGCTAAGAAATCAAGTGATATCGGCTATTCAAGATATTTTAGATTATTGAAGAAGCTTTGCAGAATGTTTGGTTCCGACAGGATGGGGCTCCAACTCATTTTTCTCTGGTGATTTGAAATTTTTCTTAAAGATGTTTTTACTGATCGATGGATTGGTAGAAGAAGCACAATAGAATGGTCGAGATCACCAGATCTAAGCTCATTAGACTTTTCTTACTAGGGGCATTTGAAAAGCAAAATCTATGAGAGCCCGAAATTAGAAGAGCTGCAAAGAATAGTGAACATTTCGAATTCAATTACATCAGAATGCATAAGTAACGTTATAGATACATTTTACGTACGCATAGGACACTGTCAAGTTGTTAGAGGATATCAATTCAAACAATTGATAAAATAATGTTTTTATTAATTATGTTATATGTAATAAAATTAATAATGTTTTTATTTCTTCACAAAGATCATTGTTTCTCTCTCACACACACACACACACGCGCGCGCGCGCGCGCGCGCGCACGCACGCACGCACGCACGCACGCACGTACGTACGCATACAAGAGATGTAACTTTTTCTTCTGAATAACAATATTCAAATCATAACTCTGCAAAAAAAAATCATAGAGATCTCGGTCATAGAGTCCGCGTTGTTTTCATTTCGAAAAGCTCTTTCCAACGAGCCCTCACTCGAGGACCTACATTAAGATTTTTAGGTCCCCTTCTCCCCCCCTTCCCCGAAAATGTTAAGGTGGATGTTTTTGAGGTTCAATGAATTTTATGATCCCATTATATCCCTGTAAATTTCAATCCTATATCTCGAACCATTCAGAAATTATTCGGATGGTCCGGAACTTTTGGCGGATCCTGTATATACTATATACATACATTCAAACTACGCGCCGAATTGGTTTTCCGAATTCACAAACACAATTAAACTACTGAAATAATATCACAAATTAAATTAAATTGACAAGCAAATTTTGATGTTGATGTCAATCCACTATTACAATATTAGAAGGATATTAATAAGATATCAGATTCTAATAAGATATCAGATTGAACATTGAACTTGTCAATTTAATTTAATTTGTGATATTATTCCAGTAGTTTAATTGCGTTTGTAAGTCCGAAAAATCGGCGCGCAGTTTGAATAGCTACAAATATGGTATATATGCATGTACATATATGTATAATATATATA